AAAAATACATAAGGTAAAATTATATTTAGAGAATTCTTTTTTTTTTTGCTTACTATTTTAAAATGTCTTCTTTTTCTTATTTGATCTTCTAGCTTGGAATTCCTATCAGACCCATCGTTTCTGCGCTATATGCACCAGTAAATTTAATTTCAAAATTTTTGTATAAACTTTTATCACCGATCTATCTACAAGTGGCTCATGAAACGACAGTGATTAATAGTATTCATTGGGTTCGTAAATTAGAAAAATATGCAGCTGATGGATATCTTAAATCAACAACAAAATTTATTACAGCAGATGTTGAAAATCTTTATACGATGGTACCAAGAGAAGGTGGTATTGATGCATTATTACGATTTTTAGAAAAATATTCAAAACATGGCAAGATAGGTCCATTTAGTACAGATATGATAATGAAAATGACTCGTCTCATTTTGGACACTAACTATTTTGCATATATAAATAAATATTATAAACAAACTCGTGGTGGAGCTATGGGTTCTGCCTTTACTCAAGTATATGCCAATATATATATGTTAGAATGGGAACAGAATTTAATTGAATATCAAGCATCAAAGAATGAAATTTATGGAAGGTCGGTCTGCAAATTCCTAATAATAACATTCACAACTTCTCTGTTTAGGTATATTGATGATATTTTTATGACTACCAGTGAACCATATGATGTAATCACAGCCGTACTTCAACAAGCACAAAAACAAGATGTTAATATTAAAATAAATCCAATTATTAGTAATTCCGTTAATTTTCTCGATATTACTATCACCAATACAAATGGACAACTTACAACATCAATCTATCACAAGCCTACAGCTGATCCTTATTACTTACCATATAAATCAGATCATCCACATAGTATTCATCGCAATATACCATATACTGCCTTAGTACGTGCAGCACGTCTTTGTTCAAATCTTCATGATTTTCATAGGGAACGTTTAAGAATTCATGTATCCCTATTATTAAATAGTTACCGACCACATTTTATCTCAAATCACTTTCAACGATTCTTTCAAGTACATAAGGCTGATCTTCTATATAAATACTTCGATGAAAGCACCTATTCTCAATTACATCGACAATTACTATATCAAACTTCGAAGCGTGAACGAGAAGAACAAGCTATGAAAAATGATCCTGTTCTCTTTCCACCAGCATTACAACAGCGACCATGGAATCAACGGCTAATGTATATTAGACATCAATATGAAAGCGGCCACATTTCGAAATTTACCAAAGAATTTCGTAGATGGTGGAAAAAACATTATCAATCGCCAGGATCAGAAGCCAACTGCATACAACTTCGAATCATTCCTCGAACAAATCGATCATTACAAAATTATCTTATACGCAAAAAGCCAAGCAAACGTATTCTCACCAAAATGGACACAAACACATAGCACCTTATTTTAAACATATGTATCTCCAGATAATTATTATACATTTTGTAAATTTCCTTACTGTTAAAAATTTTAATATAAAACAAAATAAACACACTCATAAAAAGATGATTCAATCACAAAAAAACGAATACATTAAAATAAACTTTATTATATTCTACATAAAACAGCACCACTACATCAACACCAAACTACTATATGACTACATACAACTCAAATCGAAACATCACCACCTCAAAAAAATGTTGCTAACAAGTAAGCCGCCTAATTTAAAATCCGAATAACATTGAAAATACTTATCTATTTCATTCACTAAGAGACATTAGATCCATGTGACTATAAAACCATATACATAGCCGAAACGTCCATTGAAAAACACTGACGAACCCATCGAACGTATGCTATCATACCAATATCTCAGTGTGATGCTCTGAATTTCTATTCTTTGAGTTCTAAATTATAAATTCTATTATTGAGGTTGTTAGTTAATTATGTTTAAACCTTTCCTACCTTAATCTATATTAAGCGAGTAAAGACTTCCATGTAATTATTATGAAATTC